ATGCTTATAGGATCAAATAGTATAAATATAGATGTAACAGGATAATAAAGGAGAACCTAGCTATGATGACCAACTGAACGCTGCCTCTGTGTCCTTCTTTCTTCGCCGACTCCGTCCACATCTTTGGGAACCCCTGGACCTGCTGGGGATGGACCCCAACAATTTTCATCATTTAAAAAGACCCTTATAGGAATTTTTTGGTAATGAAACGAGAACTTTGGACTGAAATGCGTGGTGTTCCCCTGGGCAGGATGGTTTTCCCGGGCTCTTTGTCCATTGGAGTCAAAGAATGAAACCAGGGATGAAAGGTGGTATAGCAAAGGTGGAAATTTATTGAGAAATCCTAGTAAGCACAGACTCCCACCTGGGGAGGGGGAAAGACTCCCACTGAGTCCCTTTTCCTACAGTTTTTAAAGCCTGCAGTTTTTTGTGCCTCAATATCCCCCCTGATTGGTCCCCTTTGATTTGGTCACTATAGCAACTCCTGAGCTCAAGTGTCATGTGAAGTATGGGAGGTTCCCTCCTTCTTCTCCCTTATTGTTCTCCTGTTCCCTCTGAGCTTTCCTTCTTCCTTCTTTGAATGAGGGGTTTCCTTCCCTTTATTCTGTACATGTGTACCTTTGCTACTCTCAGTTCCCTTGTCTTATGGAAATGTACCCTTTTACAACTCTGTAGCCCTGTGTTTTTTTCCAGGGACCCCTTACTTTTTAAAAATTTCCTAAACCTGCCTATTTCACCCCTAAAAATTCCTTTCAGTAACTCATTTCAATTTTTTGATAGGCAAATGTGGATACATTTCTTTGTTTGCTTAGTTATGATTACATTTTAGAAGTTGGTGATAATCCTGTTGAAAGGAGAAATGTCTTATGTTTAAATAAGGAGTTGTTCCCTTAGTGAGGAATGTAAATACTGAAATTGCTTGCTCTCAATTGTTCAGATGCCTTATGAAAAGAGCTCTAACCCAGCCACATTTTTTTGTGGGCTCATTAAAATTTCCTCTTTGGTCTGATCAGAGTTGTTCCTAATGATGTTACCACCATTTTTTAATACTATCTTTTCCTCGCTCCCAAAATTGATTAATCTGAGTAGGCTGAACTTCATCTTCAGATACGTTGTTTTCTGAGCCACTAAGTATTTGAGAATCATTTTCTTGTTGTCTATATTGATAAAAGATAATGAGTGGAGTCTGAAATTTGGGATGATTATGTTCTCTTTCCATCTCAGCCCTTTCGTCTTCTTTCTATTGAATTCTGGAATTTAGTGCCATGGAGGTCTGTCTGCTTTCTATTCCATTCTATTTAGGTGGTTTCACTCGGTTGGATTCTTGCAGGATGGTTTTATTTTTTTAAATCTTTATAATTCAAACATTTTCCCAGACATTCCTAGGCGAGGTGTCTTTTCACATATTTCACCTAGAATAGTGTGAAGCCCTCTCAGTCTGTATTCTAGTTTTTGAAATATTTTCTATGGTTACAGCTCTGATTAATCATATTCTTTCCAGTTATCCCTATTCCTCCAGAAACACCTATGATTCTTAGATTGCTCCCTATCTTCCCCCTCATTATCAATCATATTCTTTCTCATCATTTTTCACTCTTTGTCTTTCCCCTGCATCATGGAGAGAGCCTCTTGAGTTTGTATTTACTACCTGTAGTATTGATTTTAATTTGAAGATTTCACATCAGTTTTCTTTTGATTCTTCCTTATTTCTCCTATTGTTGGTTCATCTATTTTTTGATCCCAATGCTTATTCTTTTTTATTGCTTCCCACTTGTATTTAATAAAGACTGCATTTTCTTACATCTTACTAAAGTTTCAAAACTGCTTTTAAATATTTTCTTTTGGATCTTAAAGTATTTAGTGTTCAGAAATCTGCTCTTTCTCTGAATCTTTAGAATGTCATTCCTTTCACTTTTTCTTCAAAGTTTCCCCTCCCGAAGTTCCTTTCTTTCTGTTACTCATCCTTGATCAAGAGAAATCTACCCATACCCACTGCTTGAAAGCTGAAAGGATAAGAGGCCTGCCCCTGGCCAATTCCCCTTCTTAGAGCCTTAGCCAGATGCTAAGAAATGTGCATGTCCTCCTGTTCCAGGGGTCTGCCAAGTTTCATGTAGTATAGCTCTATTGTACTGAGATCAAATATTCTCCTAACCCCACTGTCCAACCCTCTTACATTCTGAATGCATGAAACAAAAACTATAATCCCCAGTTTGAACTGTTGCAAAGGGCTCTTTCCATCTCTCTCAGAAACTATATATTTTACATTTGGGGCATCCTCCACACCCCACCCCTGCTTTTTATCACTCCCTCTACCCTCCAAACACACATAATCCCCACCCTTTTTTAAATTTACAGGCTCTGACTAGATGTAGAAAAGAAGGTATTGAGGCCCCCTGATTGCCTCAAACTGCAGCAGCCACCCACACACCAGAGGGATGAAGGTCATGTTGTGTTTGATATAGGAAGGCAGAGAGTTGGGAAGACTTGATAGTTTTTATTCCTATTTAGGCTTACAAACCAAAGGAAGGCCGCAGGATGCCTTCTGGTCGGTCGATGGGACTTCCTCTTGGCAATGACAGGAGGTTGGCTGTTCTACTTTTTGTTGATGGAAGTTTTATCTCTTTCTATATCTTCAGAAGTGTCATAGTGGGAAAATACTTTATCAAGAGCTGTTAGGCCTATGACACTATACACTTCTTTATCTTAAGTATTTTTATTTAGGGATATATTTTATTTTATTTAAAATATATCCTAAATGTTAGTTTGAACCAAAGTTATAATGACATTAATCAGATACATATATATTTTCATTGGACTCGTGTGATAACTGAGGGTAATATATATATTAGACCCGGGGTTAGCAAACTTTTGCAGATGGTGAAAAATTTCAGCTTTGAGTGCCATACAGTTGGAACAACTACTCGGCTCTGCCATTGTACCACAGGATGTGCTGCGGATAATGTGTAAATGAATGGATGTCATTGTGTTCCAATAAAACTGAACTTGTGGAACAGGTGGTGGGCTGGATTTGGCTCAAGGCCCGTAGTTTGCTGGCCCCTGTATTAAACTGTACATTCGAAAGAGCAAATCTACGAAGACCAGAATGATAGGATCCAGGTGTGTGATAGCAACAAAAGGCTTGTTAAAAAGCCATTCCCATTTCTCTGACCCACCTCGCTGCTCACCTTCTTACTTGCCTCTGCAGTCCTCTGGCTTATGAAGCCTCAGCCCAGCTGGATCTCACCTCTGAATCATAGAGTTCTCTGGTATCCCGGGATATTTTCTCCTGAAATGCTTCTCCTTCCTGCCCTTGTTGGTCTGTATTTGTGAAGGAAGCGTCTGTTTCTGTCAACAAATTACATAATTAGGTATTGCCAGTAAGAATCAGAAAGCTTGATTTTCCCTGTACCAACCTCCATATCAGCAACTCCGCCCTCCCCTACTCTCCTGCTGACTCTGCTGCTATACTTGGGTTTAGTCCAGGTTGGTGAATATAGATTGATACTAACTCAATTTCTTCTCAAGATTTGTGATCATGACATTTGTCCCCTGTTTACTTAACGTTGTATAAGTTCATTTGTTTACTTCAATGAAGACATTGAAGACTGTGATATCAGATAAACTTTTATTTTATTCCTCACTGAAATGTCATTAAACTAAAGAGTTCTTAAGTCAAGAAATGCTCAGTGATTTCAATCCATATCCAATTTTCACAGGCTCTGTTAAACATCAATGGTCATCATATTTTGCATATAGAATCGAAAGAAATAAAATAACCTAAAGTATAGAAAAGTTGTCAGTTTAATTACAGTGATTCAGGTGCTTAAAATAGATCCTATTATATAGCAACATGTTAATCTAACTCATAATATATAATTGGGGTAAAGAACTACTGAAGTATGACTGGAATTTTCCAAGAAAAATTAAGGTTATTTGGCAGCTCCGCCCCTTCTCTCCCCCCAGTACATTGACCTTGTTTTCCCTGCAGAATGAACACCAGAGTAACCATGGTAATAAAATCTCATTTTCTGCTTCTAATAAGAGAAGGAAGAGAACTGTTTTGAGGTATTCTCTATATAAGATCTACCACTTCGTAGTCATTGAAACTTGGTTTGTTCTAATCCTCCTTCCCCTGCCTTTAATTGGTCTATCTTCCTGCCCATCAATAAGACTGTAGTGATGAGTCAGAGTGAGAAGCTGGCTTTTGGGCATTAAGGAGGAGACTGTTGCTGTGAAAATTCTTAGGTCAGCGGAGGCAGAATGGTCTGATATTCTGGGGTTGAGGTGGGGTGTTAGAGGTGCATAAGCACTGACATATTCCCAGATATATAGAGATAAGATTAATTTCTTTTCATGTTAAGGACCTCCCTAATGCACATATGTAAGTGATGGGTTCACATAAAGATGCAAAATAATAGTGAAGTAGTCTATGAGGGATACCTTCTCTTCGAATTTAAAGGTAACTCAGCAGGGGTGTAAGTGCTCTTAGGTGTTGCTATGGTCAGTGCTCTGAGTTTCCACTACTGACCATTTACTACTGTCAGGTCAGCCGTATGACCTTGGGTGAGTCACATAACCTCTGTGTTTAGTTTTCTTGTTTGTAAAGTGGCAATAAGAGCATCTACTTCAGAAGGTCCTTGTCAAGCACTTAAAACAATGCCAGGCAAATACTAAGTACTATTATTATTGTTATGGTTATTATTTGTGCTTTTGTTTGTTTTTAGAAGAGGCTGGGACTTAATGAATGTGTAAACTTCTTAATAGTCACACTGACCTTGGAAGTGCTAATTTTTATCAAGGCACTAGGTTACTAATAGATACCAAATGTGAGGAATTGCTGTTTATGGATGCTTGAGGCACATGCTTCAGTTGGCTATGAATAAAATTTTCCTACTTTTATGGATTTTATTAATGCTTCCTTTTGATGGATTATCCTCTTCTGGGTATTCAGGATGAAACTGTGGTTCGAGTTCCTGGAAAATGCTGCCCCCAGTGCTCTTCCGGATCCTGCTCCGCTGCTGGCCAAGTGTACCAGGTAACCTCTGCTGTACCCCGTGCAGGTGTTTGACATACCTTTTCACACATCTGCCCTCCATTCTTTCAACCACTGTACCTCCTGCCCTCATGTCTGACTCTGCCAGGATTAGTAACTCAGTACATAAGCATCTTTTTTCTTCTCTACATGGAAAGCCTTTATAAAAAAATTAAATAGGAGGGCATTAGAAATATAAAGGAATGTGCTGGCAAGCAGCCCCCAGCTCATGAACCTTGGCGAACTTACTGTTCATACATCTTGAAGAGAAAAAAGGACTGTCATTGGTCACTATCAGTTTACACTTAGGTTGTCTGCTTTGGTTGGATTTTATGTACTGATATTTAGAGATAATGCCCCCTTACCTTACACTGGGGGGGGGGCATGGGGGTGGTAGGTGAGAGAGGGAAGGGAGGCAGGGGGTTGGTGGTAGTGGATCCTTTAAATTTCAAAGTACTATTGGGCAGTCTGGATAGCTGCCCAATAGATAGCAGGCATCAAGTAAAAACCAGTCCAATGAAGGGAATAAATCAATGAATATTCTTTCTTAGGAGTGCCCAACTGAGCCAAAAGGAGGTTACATTATTCAAAAGCAAAGAACATATTAAGAGTGAACCCAACTACTTCTCTTGCTTGTCAACTACTCTAAGGAAGATTAAACAGAAATTGGGATTATGACTCTCAGTAGAGAATTTGAGGATGGTATCACAAATTATAGGTGGATCGCATGAAATCTGAATGCAAATAACTAACGGGGAAAGGATTTTTGGGTGCACTAGATCTGTGCTGCCCAGTACAGTAGCCATATATGTGCTAGATTAATTTCTCATGGAAGAGATAGCCTCTGTGTCTGTTATGAGGTTTTTGGTTGCAAGGAACAGAAATACTCCTTTAAAAGTAGCTAAAATGAAAACATTTATTGTCTCATATAACAGGAAGTTCAGAGGTAGGGCAGTTGCAGGGTTGCTCAGTTCGGGTCTCAGTGATGTCGTCAAGGATCTAAGCTCTTTTGATCTTCCCACCCTGCATGCTCAGCATGTAGCATTTGCCCTCTGTCCTGTCTCCTCCAGTCCCCAGCTTGGCCTCGGCCCCAGGCAGCTTATCCTCACATAACCATCACTAAAGGCTGGTGGAAGAAAGGAGTGTCCTTTTCTTCCTGGGGAGACAAGTCTTCTTGACCTCTGTCTCTCTAGCAAGCTTCCCCTCGGTCCCCTCGGTTAGGATTGGGACAGTGCTGTGCCCTGCTATAGGGGAAGCTGGGAAAATCAATATGTGGCAGAGAGAGCTGGGTTGACTGGTAAAGAAGAACTAAGGAATGACCATTGACCAGCCAACAAACAGGCTCTTCCTATGTGTCCTCTGTGTGCCTGGCATGGGGCAGGCCCTCAACACATCTGTGGGATGAAGAGAATGGAATGACAGTTAATCCAGAGTTCCCTCGGGACACTTATTGACTTTGTTCTGAGAGGCTGTTGCTACCTAAATGATATCATTTCTCACGTGTACATTCAATGTGGCTCCATGAAAAATTGAAATAAAAAATCGTTTGTCTTATGCGCCTGTGTTTCTACTTGATATACGTGTCATTGGATTTCCCCTTTCTTCTTTTTTTAAAATTTTTTTCTTTTTCTTTTTTTTAAATTTCTTTATTGATTAAGGTATTACATATGTGTCCTTATCCCTTGCCACCCCGCCACCTCCCCACTCATGCCCTCAAGACTGCCCCAGCCCTGGCCATTGTGGCCCCCATACTCATGCCCTCACCGCCCTGTTGTCCTTGTCCATTGGTTAGGCTTATATGCATGCATGCAAGTCCTTTGGTTGATCTATCCCCCTAGCCCCCCCTCCCCTACCTTCCCTCTGAGGTTTGACGGTCTGATCGATGCTTCTCTGTCTCTGGATCTGTTTTTATTCATCAGTTTATGTTGTTCATTATATTCCACAAATGAGTGAGATCATGTGATATTTACCTTTCTCTGACTGGCTTCTTTACTCAGCATGGTGAACAGTGGAGTGAAAACGCCTGCACCACGTGCCTATGTGACCGGGGCGAGGTCCGGTGCCACACGCAAGCCTGCCCCCCTCTAAGATGTGAAAAGGTACCGAGAGAGCGTGTAGCGTGATTTTCAAAGTTTTATTCTGGGCCACTTCAGACATGGGTTTCTTAGTCCAGTGTGTCCTTTGGGGCAATCAAAAGTTTATAATGTTTAGTATATCAGATAAAGGTATGAAAGGTCTGCTTCCAGGAAGGAGGGCTGAGGGGAGGGGGACTTGCCGGGCTGGGTGAGGTGGGGGAAGAAGAGAGGGTGGTGGTGCGATATGGCCTCCTGTCCCACTGGCTGGGATGTCTCCTGAGCACCCTCCTTCACCCCCCCCTCTTCCTGTTTCCTCAGGGTCAGAGAAGGGCTCAGCGCCATGGGGAGTGCTGTGAGGAATGTGTGTCTCCTGCCGGAAGCTGCTCCCACCACGGGAGTGTGCGGTACCAGGATGAGATGTGGCAGGGCTCGGCCTGTGAGTTCTGCGTGTGTGACCGCGGCCGAGTGACCTGCCACACCGGAGAGTGTGCCAGGGTGGAGTGTGCCCAGGTAAGAAGCAAGGGCATTGCCACCTGGACTGTGAGAGCGCTCTCCGATGGGATAGGGGGTCCCTCCCCGGTTCTCTACTTCTTGGCAGCAGAGGGGCCCACCCGGCCAGCAGGTGGACTGCTTCTAGCACGAGGATGCTGTGGTTTAAAGTAAATGTCCCCATTTGCTCAGACAGGCTCGGAACAGTCCCCTGGAGCCTTCAGCGCTCAGGGCATCTGGTCAGAGGGACAGACACAGGAAGGGAAGGACACGATGTGGCCAGTGCAGCTGACCTCATTGCTGGTGCCTGCCCAGCTGGCTGTGCTTGCGACAGGCCCTCGGGGGCTCCAGGCTCAGCTTCTGCTGCAGGCCCCACTGGCAGCGGTTACTCAGAGAGGCGGGCCAGCACGGAGGGGCTGCTCCTGGTGCCCAGGAAAGAGAATAAAATGTTTTTATGTTTTTGTTCTAAGTGGGGGGTGGGGTGGCTCAAGAGTAATTAACTCCCTTGACCTCTTAACTTCTGCTGTCTGCTAAATTTCTAGAAGCCTCTCACAAAGTAGCCCCTGTTTGCACTATAGTATATTGTAGGGAAATTGTTTTTTTCTCTCTCTCTTTGAACTCAATTTTTACCCACTGCAAAACAAATTGCTTTTAAAGTTGCCTCTTTCTCCCCTACTGCTCCCTTCCGCCCCACCAGTTCCCCGCGGGGTTATGAACTTGAACAGAAGAGGGAAACTTCAGGGATCAGAGGCACTGGGTGTCTGTAAAGATATTTTTCTTTCTAATTCTTCCTCCCCATGTCTCAGCTCCTCCTCACACTGAGCCTAAGGAGGAACAACCTCTCAAACAAGCCTGCCTTGACAGGGTTATTTTTCATTTGCCTCCTACGTCGGAGTCCTGGCAGACCTGAGACATGTTTAAGTAAAGCGGGTCTTGCTCCTTGCAGATTTACTTCCCCCCACACGCCTTTTCCTTTCTTCTCCTTGATTATGTCAGGGCGTCAGAATGGTTGGATGAAGATGAGAAAAACCCTAATCAGGGCCCTTGTCTTTCTCCCTCTCTCGGGCTGAGGCAGGGCTTCCTGGCCTCGGCAGTCTGCCCAGAGGATGCTGGGTTATTTCCCAAGGTTTTAATTTGTCTCAGATCTTTGGGTTTATGGAAAACATGGAAGACATGATCCTGGTCGGGTGAGTCCTTCTGTCATCTATTTTGTCTGAACAAGGAGTCGCTCTCAGAGAAAATCATTTGACCTATTACCCCCAATGTTGGGGAGTTCCCCAGTGCTTCCTGTGACACCTACATGTGGCAGCATAAGCCAGGTCTTCTCTGTTGTTAGGGAAAACGAGGAGCAACTGCGGATGTAAGTGGAGAGGGCCTCGGTAGTCTTCAATAGCACTACCTCATCTCTTTCCACTTTCATCTCCCATCCCCACCTCATCTTCTCTCCTATTTCTTCAGGTGCTTAATCAACTAAATTGCTTTTTTCTACATTACTTCCATGTTCCTAAATTTCATTTAAGGTGCAGGGTTCTAAACTGGAAACACTATCAGAAGTGACATTTGCCTGACCAGAGTGGCTCAGTGGTTGAGCATCGACCTATGAACCAGGAGGTCATGGTTTGATTCCCAGGCATATGCCCGGGTTGTGGGCTTGATCCCCAGTAGGGGGCATGCAGGAAGCAGCCCATCAATGATTCTCTCTCATCAATGATGTTTCTATCTCTCTCTCTCCCTCTCTCTTTCTCTCTGAAATAAATAAAAATATATTTAAAAAAATAAGTGAAATTTTAACTAAAATCGAATCTTACAAAGAATATTGCTTAGCCTTCTTTCTATGCCGTACATCTGTAAATAATGACCTTGGTTAATGACCTTGTGTAAACCTGGGCATGTTAACCTTGGTTAATATGGTTAATGACCTTGGAAAAGCTTGGACATTCTAACTTCCAACTTCTGTTTAGTTGGATATAGAAAGATGAACAAGACACATTCTGATCTAAGAGTTCCTAACCTTTGGGGAAGTCAGATACATAGACAGAAATTATAATATGTGGTGACACTAACAATTATGGAAGTATGAATTAAATGCATTAGGAACACCTGCAGAAAATGATTATGTCTGCCCAAGGGAGCAGTGAAAATATGCTACTGGTATTTTTATTCAATTCTCACCTACTTGCTGCCTTTTCTAGAATATCAAGGTCACTAGATTTCTAATCTTGGATAGCAAGGGTGGATTAAGTCTAAGTGTTTGCACATCCACAAAGATGAGGAAGCAAATTGTGCAGCTTCACAATTGTAATGATTATCTCACTGGTTATCAACAGCAGTATTCTGAAGAGCATTGAAATCAGCACACAACTCTTCTTTAAAAAGGAGAACATGGTGCCCTGGCGGGTGTTGCTCAGTGGTTAGAGCATTGGCCCACACACTGAAGGCTCTCAGGTTTGATTCCTGGCCAAGGGAATGTACCTGGGTTGCAGGTTCAATCCCTGGCCCCAGTGGGGGCACATAAAGGAGGCAACCAATTGATGTGTCTCTCTCACATTGATATTTCTCTCTCTCTCCCCCTCCCTCCCATTCTCTCTAAAAATCAATGGGAACAAAATCTTTTGGTGAGGATTAACAACAACAACAAAAAAAGGAGAACATGGTATAACCCTTGTCTTTGACATAGTAAAACCAAATTCCTAGACGTAGGAACATAAATAAATCAACAGTAGAATAGCACAACAGGATGATTTTCATTTTTCTATATTTTGTGTTATCTTTAAAGATGAATTCAGATAAAAAAAGTCAAATTACCTTTTTTTTAAAGGGATCTAGCATTCATGCATACAGGGGTGGACAAAGTAGGTTTATAGTTGTGAATACGTGAAACAGAGTTTATTATTGTATTATGTTTATTAATCATTATATTATTTTCCAAGTGAACAACTGTAAGCCTTCTTTGCCCCACCCTGTATATGAGACATAAACTTATGGGGCGATTGATGGGCGATTGTAGCAAAGTGCATGGGAGGGGGTAGGCATGCCATAAAAGTGAGGTGCCTTCCCCTTCTCCTGTAGAGGAAAAGCCTCTCAGAAGAGTGTTTCCTTTCCCAGTGGGCAGGTGTGTGGAGACTTTTGTCTGGTGGGTGGATATAGGTGTGATTCAGTGGGGAGGGGTGAGCAGAATTAATTTGGCCCATGCAGCAGAATCTTCTCAAAAGAAAAAGAATTAGTTTTGTTTCACAAAGCAATTTTTCTCCAAGCAAAAGTCAAAAGCTAATTGGAGTGAGTTCCCCACCGCAGTGAACTGACACAGTTTGGGGCATCCAGGCTTCTATAAATAACAAATCTATTTAGAACTAACCACCCCACCAAAACCGAATCCTTGCTGCCCAGGAGCAGGGCTTGCTGTTATTTACAGGAGCAAAAGAAAACTCAGAACTGCCACCTTCTTTGCTTTGTTGGGGTGATGCAGGCTCCATCTTCAGTGTTGTCTCTGTATTGTAGTGGGCACTCAAGAATCTCATGCATTTTGTCTTTAATAGAAGTACACATACTCTGTCTTGTTTCAAAACATTGTTTTAAGCAACCTAGATTACATGCCTATAAACCCCTTTTTACGCTTTCAAATCAAATTTCACCGTGTTTCTGGGTTATGCCTTCATTACTAGTTCATTTGTCACATCTCTGCAAAACAGTTTATATGTAAATAGTCTGCTCTCTGTAGCACCCATTGGCCTCTGATTTGGCATTAGATTTTGATAGGCATCGATCTATAGAACTCCCTTCTTATTGACATAACTTCTTAGACATTAAAAAGTTCATGTGTGTTGTGTTTTTTTTTGTTTGTTTGTTTCTTTAACATGTTTATGTTTTCCTTCATTAAAATAATTCATTTTCATTTTAGGAAATTGAAGACAAGAAAAGTGGAAGAGACTTTAAAATCTATTCATAATGCTACAATTCAAAGCAACCAATGCTATTTTTATATTTTTCTTTCATGCACAGTGTTTTAAACATTAAATATCATTGTGATTATTCTGTTTAAGCTATCTCACATGATTTAATTTTTTGCCTAACATGGTTTCTGCACTTTAGATATAATATAGTTCCCAAATGAAATAATGTCTTCATTTAAAGAGACATCACCATTTTTTAGAAAATAGATATATCTTTACAAAGTGAAAAGTGCTTTCAAGAATACTTTTTAGCTCATAGATATTAGATATTAGTGTATGCATACAAAAAATTGTAAACGGAGATTGTATTTTTAACAGGAGATTCCCTGAGAGGTAAAGTCCAGTGGAATTATACTTTCTAAATTACAAAATTCAGAATTATTTAATTTTTATACTAAGTATTTGTTATTTTGTAATTAAAAACAAAAATTTTGAAATTGCTGATATTGGGAAGTTAAAATAATAACAATTTGAAAGTTAAACATCTACTTTCCTAGTGTGGCATTTCTTTCCTTCCTCATAATTTTTAAAAATAGTGATTATGTAAGTTAAATAACAGTTTCAGAATATTGAATAGCCATTGTTCTATGTTTAACTTATGCCTGAGACTACATCTGTGCACAAAGGAATGTGTCTGGTTTTGTTTTCAAGGGAAAACATTGGTTTGACTTGAGCTGTAAATGAAATCGAACCACAAGTTCAAACCTTGTGTATTGAAGAAAGCCTGATCCTTTTCTGAAGCTCATAACTTTCCAAGACTGTAACATTAACCTTGGCCATTCTTGTTATTCATGTGAGCTCCTGATCCTGGGTAGGAAATTATGGAGGGATCTGTGCACAAGTATCACCAGAACTGGGAAGAAAAAGGTTTTGGGGATGACTAGTGACTGTACTGACCAGACTTTCTGTAGGAAGACACTGCGGGTGGGGGCGGGGGTTCAATGAGTCCTGGGCCAAGGCGCAAGGGAGCGCTCAAAGTCTTTCATTCAGTCAGGGAATCCAGCTGCTTCGAAATTTAGCATTGCTACCTGGGATGTTAATTTGATAAGTCTCTCTGCAACCCTTACTTCTACAGGGTGAAGAATTAATTCACTTAGATGGAAAATGCTGTCCTGAATGCATTTCAAGGAGTGGCTATTGTGTTTATGAAGAAAATGCAGAATTTGTGAGTATTGGGCAAATAACTAAAGGCTATTAAGAACTAATAATTCAAAAAAAAGAACTAATAATTCAAAATTAATTTAGTGAGGAGGTGTTACCTTCTCATTTCTTTCACCTATTCATTTGTTCAACAAATGTGATTGTGGACCTACTATGTGACAGGTACTGGGGATGTAGATGCGGACATAGTAGGTGCAGTCCATACTCTCATGGAGCTTACACTGTAGTGAGGGGACACAGAGGACAAAGTTCTGCCTAGAGTATAAAGCAGCTTTATGGACTAGGGAGTACCTGGGATGGAGGCAGGTGCTCTTTTACATAAGGTGGTCGGGGAAGTCTCTCAGGCAGAGAAATTTGAGCACAATTTCTCAGCAATTGAAAAACCTGAAGCAGAAATGTGTTTGGCACGTTCAAGAAACCACAAGAGTATGGCAGCCCAACTGGTGTGGCTCAGTGAGTGCCAACCTAAGAACCAGAAGGTCACCGTTCGATTCTGGTCAGTTTGGCACGTTCAAGAAACCACAAGAGTATGGCAGCCAACTGGTGTGGCTCAGTGAGTGTCAACCTAAGAACCAGAAGGTCACCATTCTATTCTGGTCAGGGTTGCAGGCTCCATCCCCAGTGTGGTGGGTGCAGGAGGCAGCTGATCAATGATGCTCTCTCATCATTGATGTTTCTATCTATCTCTCCCTCTCCCTTCTTCTCTGAAATCAATACAAATATATATTTTTTAAAAAGTGAGTATGGCTGACACCAAGTGACTGAGGGGAAAGGAGTTGCAGATGAGGCTCAGTAGTGGCCTGGATGCAGTGATAAAGATGTGTTTACCCTGATGCAGATGGCAGCTGCTGGGCAGTGCTAAGAGAGCAGTGCCTGGGATCTGGATTACTTGTGAGAGGATCATTTGGGCTGCTACTTGGGCGAGGGACAGAGGGGACGAGATTGGAAGTAGGTGGTTCCGTTCAAAGGTTTTGCCATAGTCCAGAGAAAGGGTGATGGTGTCTTGGCCTAAGGAGGAAGTGGTGAAAAGTGACCAGATCCTGGATTTATTTTGCAGATAGGATCGAAAGAATTTTGATGGATTGGATGTTTTGAAACTATTTGCTAAGGTTTTATTTCTCCCTATATCTATATATTTTTTTCATATATAGCCAAAGGAAAAAAATATTTATCTTAATCTTTTCAAATGTGCTCTATTCATGTAGCCCATATTTTTCACATGAGGTTGTGGAATGTTAATAAGTTCACCGTGTTCTTAAAAAATCTGCCCGATGATCATAAATACAACTGCTTCATTGACCAATCAGAGGAGGATTATAAGCATTAGGATTAGGTACTTTGATTCTTTGATTTGTGAACTGATTCCTATATACTTTTTCTCTGTGATCTGGGTAGATTGCACCTATCCACCTGCCAGTGTCCTGTATGTGCTGAGGAGGCAGTATTGTGTAGGGTTAATGTGCAGGCACTAGGTTGAGATCCCTACTTTGCCACATACTGTGATCTTGGGCAAGTTACGTAATCCTCAACTGTAAAGTAGGGATAAAAATGGTACTACCTCATGGGTCTATTGAGATGATATGTATAAAGCACTTAGAACAGTGCCTGGCACACACAAAACAGCTTTAAAATGATATTATTGTTATTATGTTGTTGGCATTGTTTGTTTAATAGTGGTGTTTTATAGTTCAGTCATTCTTGTTTCTTAAGAATTTAAGAGATTAAAGGTTCCCTATAAATGTTGAATCTGTATTTTCTCAATCATAGTATTAATTTTTTTGCTCATTTTTGGAGGTCAATTAAGCTCAGTGGAGTTAATAAATTTTAAATTATTTTAAATAAGCACAAATCCCCTTAATGCTCTATCTAGTTCTGCGCAAGATTCAAGAGGTTCTTACAAAGTTAGATCTCTTGACTGTGAAGTCCTTCCCATTGAGGGGAATGGAAGCCAAGTGCTCAAACACAAAGTGAGAATGAGAATTTAAAAATATTTCCTGGGCTTCTTTTCTTCACCTCATATTGCTATGCTTTTCTTGTTTTGTATAAAGATAGATTTTATTCCTATTCATAACTGACGAATGGTGTTGCGTGTCACTTGGGGGAAGATGGATAGTTCCTAATGAAAAAACAGATAGCTCAGCCTAATGGTGTTTTTAGTGGTATAATAAAAACATTTCTCTTTGTCCCTAGATGTCCTCAAATGCGAGTGAAGTTAAACATATTCCAGTAAGTATAGATTTTTAACTTTATATAGACACTTATAAAATTGTTTTAAGCAATGATCTGCATAAACTGTTTCTGTGGAACCTACTGCCTTAGGATTTTTAGCAGTCATGTTTGATGGCCATGGCCTCAGATTAAGAATCTTAATAATAACTAAGACTTTGATTCTTTAAACTTTTTCCTCCTTTCTTTAGCTTGTTCTCCCCCTGCCCCACCCCACAATTGGTAATTAATACTTCAACTACAAGCTCCTACATAGATCCTTTTCCATTCTTGTGATGATTTTCTCCTCCTGAATTTTCTGGCCTAAAATAGCTCAGTTTAGCCATTAGTGCAATTTCATGTACTGCAAAGCATTCAAGAGAGAGCTTTTGGGTCTTGAGAGTGTTCACTCTCCAAGCAATACCACGTGTCCACTCTCTCTATAGTGTTTGCAGGACAGTTGTATGGTTTCTTTTTAAGGGAAAATGTAAGCATGTTTGTTCATCTAAGCAACCTTACACTGTTGGAGGTTATAGAATCTGGTCTGCCTTGAAATGGAAGAAAAGCATTTCTGCTTTCTCAAGATAATCTCTCTCATTTTTGTAATATTGTCATTCATTGTTGCTAAATACTGCCACATTGGAATTTTAACATGGTTTGGCTTAATAAATATTTTGTCAAATCTTTGTCTTAAAATATGTTCTCCTATTACCTGTTCTACCTCCTTCATCACCCCCAAAACCTTCTGGTGGGAACCTTTGTCTCTTTCCTATATTGTGGGCAAGTGGGATAGCAAGCAATAAATAAATAAATAAATACTCTTTATAATTCACAGTAGATTCTCTGTCAAAGTACTAATGTTTATTACCACAATTTGCTTGGCGGGAAAAAATATTTTAAAAAATATATATTTTTTAATTGATTTTTTACAGAGAGGAAGGGAGAGGGATACAGAGTTAGGAACATCAATGAGAGAGAAACATCTATTCAGCTGCCTCTTGCACGCCCCCTACTGGGGATGTGCCCGCAACCCAGGTACATGCCCTTGATCGGAATGGAACCTGGGACCCTTCAGTCCGCAGGCTGACGCTCTATTCGCTGAGCCAAACCAGTTAGGGCGGGAAAAAATATGTTAGTGTAAAGCTGCCCATGGCACATCTACAGCCCACTAAAAGGGTACCTGCCAGGCCCTAACCAGTTTGGCTCAGTGGATAGAACGTCGGCCTGCGGACTGAAGGGTCCCAGGTTCAATTCCGGTCAAGGGCATGTACCTGGGTTGCGGGCACATCCCCAGTAAGGGGTGTGCGGGAGGCAGCTGATCGATGTTTCTCTCTCATTGATGTTTCTAACTCTCTATCCCTCTCCCTTCCTCTCTGCAAAAAAATCAATAAAATATATTTTTTTAAAAAGATACCTGCCAGAAGTTTCACTAAGAATACAATGACACTACTGTTACTCTTACCATAGCAACCATAAGGAAATTCAGGGCTTCCACCAGCTTCTTACTGTTATTATAAAAATTGTAGGTAATGTATCTGCTAATCACTAGGTACCGAGTAAACCCCTCTGGTGTTTTCTCTGTGAGATGGGATGGGAAACAAGTGATCTATGCTTCTTGCTTATTGTGGGAGCCCCAGAATGCTTTCACAAAGTATCTCTCTGCCTGGGTTCTATATTAAAATAACCCAATTAAAAACAAAGAATTAGAAATACTGTCCTTTTAAATTTAAGACACTTCTAATGTCCTATTTCAGAGTTCGGTTTGACATGGTACTGATCAGGAGCCTTCCCTTTGTCCCATATGGAAATGATAAATTCTCCATCAGCAAACTGTCTTCAGAATCTCTGCACCCTGCTAACAACACCTTTATTGTCTCATGTAGGAGGGAGAGAAGTGGGAGGATGGCCCTTGCAAGCTGTGTGAGTGCCGCGGGGCTCAGGTCACTTGCTATGAGCCCTCATGTCCACCGTGTCCAGTGGCCACACTAGCCCAGGTGGGGAAGGGACAGTGCTGCCCAGAATGCACGGCAGGTGGGTCCATATCTAATTTATTTCTACTGACATGTTTTCTGCTGTCAAAAAACTCAGAGATCCTCTCCCCCTGCCCTTGCTTCTTTTTTTTTTTTTCCAAACCACCCATTGACTTTGTTGGTTTTTTTGTTTTTTTCCTTCCTAATTTTTCTAACAAATGATGTTAATTCATCTTTGTCCAGGTATTTGCCAAATTCAACGGATGATGAGTATATGACCCCTGGCCAAGTCATTGACCATCTCTAAATCTTAATTTTCTTGTCAATAAGATGTGCTTTATCTACCTCACAAAGTTATTGTGAAAAATCAAATAACATAATTTTTGAAAACTTGTAAAGGCAACTATTTGGTAGGACTGTTTCAATTTTTAAGCTATAAGGACAATTGCTGAAAGTTTGTTATGGATGTCCTTTTTTTTTTTTTTAAAGGTGAGCTATTAAACAGATGGTTTCTTTTGCAATTCTCAAAAGGGTTTTTGAAGTTTAAAGACTCATTAATTTCTTCCAAAAGAAATTTTTACCTACTTGTCCTGCAACTCTGCTTTCAAATCACCTGGGGTGGAATTAGTTCCAGTTAATAATTGTTGGCAAGCGCTGGGGTTACTCTGGCTGAGCAGTAATTTGCCTATGAGCTTTGTCTCTCAGAGAAGTGGCATTTTCTTCCATTCATATTTCATAATTAATTGTTTTCATCCATGGGTTGCAGTTTTTCATATTGGCAGTTGTAGCACTCAACTTATTTTGGCTAATCGCAGTGTTTCGTGAAGAGTGTATTATGAGAAGAGCAAAGCAACTTTATGTTTTAATTACACTACCTTCACCAAAGTGGCTCTCTGGGTTTTCCAAAGCAAACATTTAGCACATGATAATGTAGCATACCTTGAAAATCATGTCCTTGACAACTTTAATACCTGAAGGAAATTCTTTGCTGACAATTACCGTTAAATTCAGTGATAATCCCAGTTACTGGGAATGAGATTTGACATTTTAGAGAAAAAGAAGAAAACTGGCTGTATTTCTTTAAAAAAAAAAATGATTTTAAAAAAAATCGGTTTTATGTCTTAACGTTTTATGCACATCAAAGCTTAAGAACATCTGAAAAGTCATAAATTATCGAATCTGTTTAAATCATATATTGTAGAGCTAGCCATTCCTGTCTTAAGAGGAATTCCTGCAGGTAGAAGCATTAATAGGCTGGTTTGGTAATGTTTTTAGCATCTTTAATTTGAAGCTATAGGAGACAGTGATGTCATTTCAGATAAGGAGGGATTTTAGGAAATCTTGCATTAAAATAATTTTTTTCTATTTGGGAGCCTTTTTCCTACTTAAGTTCCAGAGTTTTCTGTTCTTCATATTCCATACAGCTCTTTTTGGGAATGATATAAGAGAAATAAATTAGATGGTCTTTACTGAGTTTTCTTCTTCTTTATCTTTGATTGCAGTTTACTGCCACCCAGACTGCTTGACCTGCTCTCAATCTCCAGACCACTGTGTCCTCTGCCAGGACCCCACGAAGCTGCTGCGGAATGGACGGTGTGTGCACAGCTGCGGCCCAGGATTTTACCAAGCTGGGGCCCTCTGTTTAGGTATGGCTCCAAGCAGAGCATCCAGAGGTGGACAAAGGCTGACTGCTGTCAAGGAGGGGGTCCTGGATGCAGGAAATGCACAACTTCCAAACCATTATTAGATAGTAAAGCCATCCATAGGTTACTCGGCTTCTTTACCTGCAGATCTCTTTCTTCTAATATTTTACAGGTATTTCTAGTCTTACTGGCAGATAGGTGATGGGGAGGGCAGATGCTTGCTATGTAGTCATAGCTGGATTTTTCATTTTTTGAAGGATAGTAATATCAGGATGCTTGGTGTCATTTATTAAAACATGCAGTGAATCCAAGATAGAACTTTAGTATTGACACGGACCTTTGAGATCACTTATTAGAACTTTCTCATTTTGCAAATGTGGAACCTGTGGGACAGAGAATTAACCTGCTTTCTCAACATCACACAGGGAGTTGGTAATAGAGCTCATCTCTCATGGGTTCTTACCAGCGGATCCAGAATGTGTTCATGTGTATTTTAGAATTCTTATATAAAGTGAAAAGGAGAACTTACATGGGAAAATTTAGTATGGTTGAGGTCAAATCATAGTTGCTTTTTTTTCTATTTCTGAATCATAGGGTTAACTATGAATTTAAGAGTGTATAGGTTCATACCCTGGCTGTGAGTATTTAAGCTCTCTGTACCTCAATATCTCATCTGTAAAATGGGGTAACACTGGTACCTTCCTCAAACGGTTCTTGTGAAAATTAAGTGTGTCAAAGCATGTGAAGTGTCTAGGATATAGTCATGAATCAATAGAGGTTAACTGTTTTTATTATTTTTGTGATTATTCATTTACTCCTACTTTCTCTCCTGATTTATAGTCTTCAGACTGTTTGAAATTTATTTATATCTCTGCCATAGGTTGTGAAGGGAAAGAGGCCAGGGGTATTTTTGTGAAATGGTTGAGTAAGAAAGATACTGGGGACTAGTGGATAAAAAGAAAATAACTCAGATCCCTGAACCTAACTGCCTGGCTTCGAATGCCAGCTTCATGTGTCCTTGGTGAAGCTCCTTAACCTCTGTGAGTTTGTTCCTCATCTGTAAAATGGGGATTAATAATATCTATCCCGTATGGTTGTCATAAAGATGAAATGCATTTGTATATTAAAGCACTTTGTACAGTGCTTGGCATGAAATAGGTGCTCTTTGATTGAAGGCTAAGATTTTTTTTTTTTGCTTTTTTATTCCCTGTGACCCCAGAGCCTCAGAATTGAGCTCTGCAGGAAATGACTCTGCAGTGGTGTCTTTGAGCTAATCAGAGCTTCCCTTTTCTTTCTCCCAACCCTGTCCGGAGCAGCCTGCCAGCCTCAGTGCTCCACGTGTTCCAGTGGCCTGGAGTGCTCCTCCTGCCAGCCGCCCCTGCTGATGCGGCACGGGCAGTGTGTGTCCACCTGCGGGGATGGCTTCTACCAAGATCGCCACTCCTGTGCAGGTAACCACTGGCCAGACCAACAGCTGGCTGGGCCACTGAGAAAGCCACTCCCTACTCCTAAGCCATCTGGGGTCACTAGGAGCTGTAAGTAGCTTCCAAGAAATTCTGAACGGACTCCTGATGGGATGAGAACAGTGGATGAGAGAGAGGGCATATGTTGTTTTTATAACCTCATTAGTGCTTTAGTGCTGTGCATATGTGATGTAATTTTTATAAGTTTTTCTGCACACATTTGGGGGCACTGGGGCAGTATTTAATTAACCCCATACTTTTGGTTCAGGATTGTCATTATGTTATAAGTTAGATTCCATCATAGTATAAATAGAAAGGGCTTAAATGAAAATATAGGAGAAAATACATCTACATATTTTTTAAACTTCATTTCCACCTAAAGAGAGAGGGAGAAGCAGAAATAAGAAAGTGACATCATAATAACGAACTTGAACAAAAAAAGTAGGCATTTAAATGTGCTCTTGCTTTATTATCTATGTATTTTATCAGCTTTATATGCATACTTTTATTTTAAATTAATATCTAGTTGAAATTCTCATATTGTAACAGTCTCTGGAGGTGGGAGTAGTCTTAATATCATTTAATTTATTGTTTATACTTGATCACTTTTGCAATAGTGTTATGATCATGGGTATAAGGAAAAAAGTATATATATGAAGAATTTTTAAGTGCAGAAATGGGAGAAGGGGTAACAGTGAAAGGAAAGACAGAGGCCGCGTCCTAAGGGCGGAGTCCTCTTCCAGAGGAGACAGGTAACCAGGGGTGCCCAGAGGCTAAGGCAGGTCTGCAGTGGAAGGTAAATTTGATAAGGTAGAACGGCCAGAGGGAGCTTCTGGAATGTTACTCCAGGTATTATGGTAATTACACTATCACCTGGGCAGAAAATGGGCAGATTCATGATAAGAATCAGAAGGTGGGCCAGTTTGAAGGTCAACTGATATGCTCCTCTCTTTCATGACCTTGGTTAGATTTTCAGGGAAATCATATGAAGGAAAAAGATTAAAAGAGAATAAGTGCATAACATTCTTCAGATGTGCAGGCTGAAGAGCTCTAAGGCCATGTGAAGATTCCATGTGGGGAGGCTGCTGGCCCCCTCGTTCCAGGCTGTGGTCAGAAGCACAGTCCACGGGACTGTGGACATCATCTTAAAAGGAAACACTGGTGCTGTCTGTGCATGCAGATGTGAGGATGGTGGGGCCAGTCCCTTGAGGGAATATGGAAGCCACACTAGCTTCAGAGCCTGGCTTGAGGGCTGAAAGAATATCTTCTGTGTCTCTGTATCCCCAACATCAAGGGCTGCACAAAGCATTCAGCATTTGTTGAACAAGTGTGTAATGATGAAGGAACGTACTACCCCTTGGTGATCCTTGATGGACCGTGTTTCAATACAAGTTTCAACCATAAAAGAGAAAAGAACCCTTAATGTTTATTACTTGTCATCTTCTATTTACCTGTTATTTTAGAACAGGTTCAGAGTGGGCACATACAAATGGCTTTGTAAGTGTCTAATGTTTGGGCAATTTAGGTAAATGGCTGAAATTTCAATTTGATGAAATCATTGGATGTATTCTTCACTCCTTTCTTCTATCCCATCAAAGAGACCTCCTACTAGCACTCCTGTGACAGATTTGCCTTTAAGAGGGAATTAATTTCCCTTAGATTTTATTCCACCCTCCCTACTGCTTCCATCCCCTACCACATATCCCACATACATATTTACTTTTTAATTTTTTTTCCTATTTCTTTTGGAGGAAGCATTCTCCTTTCTCTTATGCCCACTGTTTTAATTGGTGATGTTAATGCTGTTTTAGGGCACTTTAGAATAGGTAATGTTTCACTTGATTATTGGTTTATGTAGCTGACTGCTTTCACATTCCATCCACAAAGCCATACACAAATGCCTCTAGTAGAGAGTTGCTGGGAAAATTTAATTCCTTCCAGGGAATTAAACCAATTTGCTTTAGTTCAGCCTGGTTGCATTTTTATGCATAAAATGAGAAGACAGAAGAGAGCAAGAGGAGAGAGAGAGAGAGCGAGAGAGAGAGAGAGAGAGAGAGAGAAAAGAAGAGAGAGAAAATGGTTTTAAAAATTAAAGCTAAACTTGTGATCAATTTCTATATACTGTCTTGATGCTGAGACTACGGCCCAAATAATCTTTTTTTAAAAAATTGAATTATTAGGGTGATATTGGTTCTCAAAACCGTCTGTGGACATCATCTTAAAAGGAAACACTGGTGCTGTCTGTGCATGCAGATGTGAGGATGGTGGGGCCAGTCCCTTGAGGGAATATGGAAGCCACACTAGCTTCAGAGCCTGGCTTGAGGGCTGAAAGAATATCTTCTGTGTCTCTGTATCCCCAACATCAAGGGCTGCACAAAGCATTCAGCATTTGTTGAACAAGTGTGTAATGATGAAGGAACGTACTACCCCTTGGTGATCCTTGATGGACCGTGTTTCAATACAAGTTTCAACCATAAAAGAGAAAAGAACCCTTAATGTTTATTACTTGTCATCTTCTATTTACCTGTTATTTTAGAACAGGTTCAGAGTGGGCACATACAAACGGCTTTGTAAGTGTCTAATGTTTGGGCAATTTAGGTAAATGGCTGAAATTTCAATTTGATGAAATCATTGGATGTATTCTTCACTCCTTTCTTCTATCCCATCAAAGAGACCTCCTACTAGCACTCCTGTGACAGATTTGCCTTTAAGAGGGAATTAATTTCCCTTAGATTTTATTCCACCCTCCCTACTGCTTCCATCCCCTACCACATATCCCACATACATATTTACTTTTTAATTTTTTTTCCTATTTCTTTTGGAGGAAGCATTCTCCTTTCTCTTATGCCCACTGTTTTAATTGGTGATGTTAATGCTGTTTTAGGGCACTTTAGAATAGGTAATGTTTCACTTGATTATTGGTTTATGTAGCTGACTGCTTTCACATTCCATCCACAAAGCCATACACAAATGCCTCTAGTAGAGAGTTGCTGGGAAAATTTAATTCCTTCCAGGGAATTAAACCAATTTGCTTTAGTTCAGCCTGGTTGCATTTTTATGCATAAAATGAGAAGACAGAAGAGAGCAAGAGGAGAGAGAGAGAGAGAGAGAGAGAGAGAGAGAGAAAAGAAGAGAGAGAAAATGGTTTTAAAAATTAAAGCTAAACTTGTGATCAATTTCTATATACTGTCTTGATGCTGAGACTACGGCCCAAATAATCTTTTTTTAAAAAATTGAATTATTAGGGTGATATTGGTTCTCAAAACCGTACAGGTTTTAAGTGTACAACTCAATAAAACATCATCTTCACACTGCATCTCCCCAAGCAAAGTCTCTTTCCCTCCCCATTCCCTCCTTTTGCCCACCTCCATCTCCCCCCAACATCCCCTTCCCCTCTGGCTATCACCATGCTGTTGTCCGTGTCTATATACTATCTTTTTGTTTAATCCTTTCTTATTATTGGAATTTTTTCCAATATTTCTGCTTGTGTCATTTTGGGTGACTTCTCACCATTGACCTTTGGAGCCGGTTGGTCAACCAGTGCTCTTTCAGTATGTGTTAAACTTTTCAAAAAGAAGTTTGCCATTCTATGATTACAACAGGTTTTTTCTGGATTCACTCCTCTTGGCAGGGTCATTTGTGTTATGTTGGCATAATTCTCCACTTTATTGACCCATCAAAACCAAAAGAAAGTGAACATTGTGCTGAGAAAACTAATTACCAGGAATTACCTGATTAATATTCATGCTCACTGTGGGAGATATAGGCAAAATGAAAAATGTGGGGCAGAGCCAAGGAGCACATAAACATGGCTCTTCAACAAAAGAGTTCAAGCAGGTAAGCCAGGGGGGAGTGAAAGAAGACAAGAGTCCTGCCAGAAACCACACCTCTAAGAGCCCTTATCATTTTCCCTTTCCCTCAATTCTGTGGCATATACACACATACACACATGCTGTATGCATACAGACCTGGACATATGTGTATATATGTTAATATTATTGTTATACTCGTGGCCCGGTGCACAAAATTTGTGCATGGCAGGGGTGTCCCTCAGCCCGGCCTGCACCCTCTCTAATCTGGAACCACTCGGGGAATGCCTGTTTAGGCCCGATCCCAGCAGTCGGACATCCTTCTCACAATCCAGGACCACTGGCTCCTAACCGCTTGCCTGCCTGCCTGCCTGATTGCCCCTAACTGCTTCTGCCTGCCAACCTGATACCCCCTATCTGCTCCCCTGCCAGCCTGATTGACGCCTAACCGCTCCCCTGCTGGCCTGATCACCCCCAACTGCCCTCCCCTGCCGGCCTGATCGCCCACATCTGCCCTCCCCTGCCGTGACCTGCCTCCTCTGCTGGGACCGGCCTCCTCCATGCTGTGCGGAGCCTTGGGACACCCCCAGGCACCACACAGAGTGGCCACCGGGCCCTGACTCTGCTGTGCATGCAGCCATCTTGTGGTGGCCATCTCGTGATGACGTTGCGCGCGAGGGCCACCTAGGCTTTTATTAGTATAGATTCTTGTGCTTGACTACAGTGAATAATGTTGTACATATAGATAACATTATGTGCCCCATACCAGTCCCTGCTTCCTTTCCCTCGCCTTCCCCGACTTTGGAGTTTGATGCTTTGTCACTAACACTCAGAACCACCCAGTTTTGATACTAGTCTCAACCAGAGACAGGTAACGTGTAAGTTGCCTCTTTCCCACAACTGGTAAGGCCAAGGCATAATCGCCCTCTTAGTACCCACATCTTACTATTTAGGCCTGGCATTCGGGCTTCTGCCTTAACCTCTCGGCTAACCTGGGATCTGGTCCAACATTCCTGTTGCCCAACCTGTCCTGTTCTTGACACCATGACATCAGGCCCTAGGACTGGACTTCTACTTTGCTTCCTGCCACTTTGCCCTGTTGTGATCCATTTTCAGGAATGAATAGCTCATCTCATCATCGCCCCCAGCCTGATGGTCAGGCTTGAGGCATGTGTAGAT